TTTTCAATCATCTTCAGCACTTGTTGCAATTTATATAGAGAATTTGGGCCGATTTTACAACAAAAAAATTACACATATTGCAAAAATAACAATAGTCAAATAAAAAATAGCGCATTACGATCATTCCGCGGTTATAACAATATTATCATCAATAGTGTTTATCACTCAGACATGGCCTTCTTAAAAATACCAAAAACATATCTCAATCTCTTTTCCATATCTGCACCACCATAGCACATTTCCACACCCCCACAGGCAAGCTATACAAATTGACAATGTAGCCATGCGTTCATTACTTGGTGTACTGTTCACAAATTTCTTCTTTGGACATCTTGAGAGCAAAACATTTAGAGACAATCCGGAATTAAAAACCAACGATGATCCATAATAAGTCAACCAGCAAACCCGAACCTATCCTATTGAGTTTCACTATTGAGCACGAAAATGTAAATTCACTGCCATTTCTGGATGTTTTGGTAGCGTATGACGAAAAAAGATTTACAGCTGTCATATACGTCAATGCGACAAATCAAGGTATTTGATTAAATTGGCTAAGGAAATGCACGGAACAATTCAAAATAAGTACAATAAAAAACTTCGTGAACCGTGCATTCACGCATTCATTCCCAACCATGGGCGCCTGCAGAAAATTTTTCAGGGGAGGCAACGGTGCCGGCCGACAAACTTTCTAGAGGGTGGATATTTATAGTGTTTTTATGCAATTTTGATCTAAGAAGCATATTTTTTTCAACAATCGTTCAGAGAACCAGTAAATAAAAGCATAAAACGTTAATAAATTCTTTATTATAACAATCCAACCCAGTGTGAACACGAGGCGAGTACGAGTTTTTCAAAAATACCAAAAATTCAAATACTCAACCAAGGACGCTAGATAACCATTTTATTTTTTACATTTTAGTTCCAGTTATTAAATATAAAATTTATAATTAATTTAAATAATATACATTTTAATGTAATTTCCGATTTTAAAAAGTCGACGGGAAAATAGGGTGATATTACAATATATACAGCTTAACCTAAACTGCTAAAATATTTTTCAAAATCCAGAGGAACAACACCCTGCAGGCGCCCATTTCCTCAACTGTGAATCGCAATACGGGACTGAAAGGAATTACTAATCTACTAGTAAGCAATGGTTACAAAACATCATCCATTGAGAGCACCATTCAACGAAGGCAATTTATTCAAAAACAACAATGACAACGACATAATCCTATATTACTAAAATCATATCTCAACGCCACATAAGATAGACGAAGTCGTCTTAAAACAAATCATAAAAAAATGTTACACCAATCAATGGTACTAATGAAATAAAACTCGGTATATACTACAATACTTGTAAGACATCACAATTGATCTAAAAGAAAAACGCACCCTTAAAGACGATTCTACTTTGAAGCGTTATACATGTTTTATGAATTCAAATTATTCATTTTATTGCTATTAACTTAAAAGTAACATGTTAAAATAAAAACATATTAATGAAACATATTAAATAAAAACTAATAACATTGAAATTCAATGAAAATTATATATATATATTTGTTAATAGAATGCTCGATTTAATATTATTTCGCTTTTGTTATCGGATTATAAATCGGACAAATTATCATAAAACGAATAATGTTATTTTATTAACCAAACAATCGCAACAATCTCGTACTAACGTAAAAAGGGAAAAAGAAAAGTAAAGCAAAAAAGTAGTAGTAATAATAAATTAAAACATGAATATTAATAATAAAACTAATTAAAAATGTTAAATGTTTAAAATAACTGTATATATATAATCCCCTACAATACTCCCCGGCAAGAGGCGGAGTCATTCAAATGGAAAAATGTTTGTTTTTTGAGTTGAATTTGATTTTTCCACTCTTTGAAGATGTGGTGGTTGGTACTGATATCGCTGGCGTTGAACTTGTAATGATGTTGCTTTTGTCGCTGTTAATGTGGTTGACGGTTCTGTTGTGGCTGACATTTATCTTGTTTCATGAGATGTTGAGAATGAATTGGAAAACATTATTAGTGAGCGATTGCGGTAGTAGAAATAGTTAATAAATCGTTTATTTATATTTTTGTACGATTTTTAATGTTCTGAATCCTTCAGATTTTTAAGTAAATTGTTATATTGTTGTTGAATTTATTTATAAATCGTATTTATTTATAAATATATTAATTACGGTTTTTAAATTATATCGCTTAAATAACTTAATTAAAATTTTCTAAATTTTCTATCGAGAATAGTTGTTTAGAACCACGCATCTGGGGATTCCTTTGTAATAACGTCACAGCTTTTTTTGTCAATTTATTAGTGATAAAAAGGCAAAATTATAATGCAAAATTTGGAATATTTTATTTAAGTCGAAAAATCATGAGTCAGAAATTTCTGAGAGACCAGAAATTTTTCATCCCTCTCTGACACTCCGGTTTTTTACCATTCTAAAAAATATCGAGTCAACGCCGAAATCAGTTTGTTCAAATTTACTTTGACAAATAAATTAGTGATAAAATAAAGGTATACCCGCTGAACCTCACAAAAGAAACATTTGGTTCTAATTATGATCTGGAAACAATAAACGCCATTACACCGTATTTTTGCGCCGTTTGAAAAGTATCATTCGCTAAAGTCCCCTTGCATCAATCATAATGGATGCGTTACGACATTGCTTTCAGTGGTGCGTATGATTGAAAATACTATTGGGCAATTCTATTTAAAATTCTATGATAACAAAAATCTTAAGCTGCCAACAACACGCTACAAAAAAAGGAAAAGGTATTATATGCTTTCCCAAGGAATCAACTAGCAACTATCAAACATCACGAATACGAACCGATCGACGCATTACGCATAAGGCGAGGATCCTCTTGTAACGTTCGAACCCCGTCAATGCATGCAGTGCGAAACACAGCCCATCACGCCGATGAAGCAACAGCAAACGAAACTCACATAATCAGATATTATTCGAATTAATATCAAATGTTTTGTAGAATGTAAATAAATAGATAAAATTAACTTTTATTTATACAAATTATAACTAAAATTAAAAATTAATTATATATCATTTTCAGACATTTTAACCAATTTTTTGTCTCATGGTAAAAACATTTTTTTATGTAAGAAATTGTATAATGCGGATATACAAATATATATATATATATATATATATATATATATATATATATATATATATATATATATATATATATATTCAATGCCATTATGTGTCGTTATATGACACTAGGCAATAAATGTCCTTCTCCTTCTTCGTTTGCTACTCTTTCAATCATGGTACATGTATATTGAAGTCTTTCTAAAACATCCGTTGTGCAACCTGAAAATAACAATTTCTTAGATTGATGCTGGCCAAGGAAAGTTTTGTATTGATCAAAAATTAAGTTATGTTTGAAAGTCCAAAAAATATATGAACATGAAAACATGATGTCACATAAAAAAAAAACCTCAACGAAATAGGATTCAAAATTTTAGCTAAAAAAATAAAATGAAAAGAAAATATTATACTATTTGAAAAATATAATTCATAATTCCTTAAAAAATAACTGAAGATGGATTAAAAAAAGTACATAAAAATTAGACAATGAAAAATCTAATGGAATGCTCTGTGAAATAAAACTTTTACAATCGCTCATCCCTGTGAGCATGCGAGATGTCGGAACAAACTGCAAGAGAGAAATATTGGAATCAGCTTCCTTTTTATGTTCGAGAGTGATGAACTATTGAGGATTTTAAGTTCAAACTAAAAACTTATTTAAATTGTTTGTCGTGATTAATATTCATATAATTTTGTTACGATTTTTGTTTGTTTTATTATAATTTCGTTGAACCTATGAGAATTTTTTTTTTCGTTACGATGTTTTGTTTGATCGTGGCAGGGAACCAATTAGAACAGAAGATATGCTTTTTTAGGGTATCCTTTTCATGTTTTTTTTCTTCATGAATAAACCTGTTATAAATCCCTATGGCCGTGGGATGTCAAAGTATTAATAGTTCTGGTTGCAGTGATTGGATTTGAGTTCATATGCAAAAGACAGATAGGAAAATGAAAATTTGAGCTGAACGACTGGAAGCTGCCAAAAGAAGTGTAAAGGTGTTATTTAACCAATTTTTAATATATGATAGCGATATGTGTATGCGAAACGGAGAAATATACATTTCAGGGTGTCTTATTCTTACCATGAAATAATGAACAAACAACGTGATTAATAAAACTCCGAAAATAAATTTATTCGATCCAGGAAATGATTTAATGTTCGTGCCACAGAAAATACCACAGAAAAGATAGTTAGCAGAAAACAAAATCGTATTGTTTACTTTCCTAGAAATAGTCCAGGTTTGAATTCATTAAAACGTTTGTGGTCAGACTGAAGTGGTTTCAAGAAATATGAACATGCAAAAAACAAACAAGAATTAATAAAGCCATCAATAACATTTTTGAGTTTACATTTGCGTAAACAGCATCTAAAAATGACTATATGTGAGACAAAACATGTTATTTCATGTTATTTGGACCTGCTAAATATGACCATATCTCAACTACTACAGTGTGTTAAAGATCGGGTTTTGTGAAGGTTTTCAATGTCCTGAAAGGATAAGGTCCGAAAAAAAGAAGTTTTAAATAATAATGTGTCAATATATGTTCATGACGAGGTAGCTACATCTGATAGGTCACTTATGATCTTTTTCAGTCGCCCTGAATCCTGCTTCATGTGAAAAAAAAGTATTATATTTTTATTTGTTTTGACCCCAAAAAAGGGTAAAAAACTAACTATTTATATGTAAAATTTCAAAATTGGTCACTGAAAATTCCCAAATAGCATTAAATTTGAGTTAACCATATCCAAAGACAAATGTACTGGGTATAAATTTAAAGGTTGATGTGCATCAAAAATGTTGGTCAATGATACAGTTAAATAACAGTACAGTGCAAGATTAAAAGTATGAGTACAAATACCTTTAGAAAATGGCGGAAGGAATAATTGTCGAGGTTAAAAGCGATAAAAAATACGTAATTGATACGTTATTGTGTTATATTTGGTATGTTCGAAACCAGATAAATGAAAAGGAAATGAAAACTTCTCTTTGCGAATTTTTTGAAGTTGACGACGTAAAAAAAAGTGCAAAGTTTTTGCAAAGTGAAGCCAGCACATTATCGCTCAGCCTGCCGGAGTTTTCCGAAGACGTTGACAAGAATAAAATGTGGGACGAATTTCTTAGAATATGTCGTTTAATTTTTGAAACTAAAGTCGAAGACAAATTTCTCTGTTTTCTCGCTGATGACTTGTGGAAAGTTACTAATTGTGACAATAGATTCGAGAAATTGTCAGCTGAACAGGTGAGGTTGCAAAAAAGGGTTATTCAAAATAGTCCGGCCGTCCTGGAATTTCTTGAAGAGCATGGCAATATACTGAGTGATGTCCAAAAAAAGGTGAACAGTATCGTGTGCAGTGATGTATCCGCTGATGGAGATTCAGATGCTGAGACATCAGTCGCTAAAAATTTGTCTGACATTGCTGAAGAAGGTAACAACGAGGGTGGAAATTTCATAACAGTCAGATGCAATAAAGAAGAAACATTTTACTATCAACTAATACAAGTCCATATTGTCATGCAATATCAAAGACCACTGTTGAACCTCATAGGCCTACGCAATATAAAGTATAAAATTTTATCACATTGGTAATGTTTCAAAGACTTGTGCATCCAATGTTGTTGACCACCTTGAGTCAATTAATGTTAAAGTTTTGTTTTGCTACCCTGTATTCAAGAGGAGAGATGACAAAATAAAACTTGATGAAACCCACACTTCTACGTCATTCCGGTTGTGTGTAGATGAGAAGTATGCGGAAATAGTTGAAAGATCAAGTTCTTGGCCTGATTATGTTCAGGTTAGGAATTGGGTTTTCAATAACAACAGCAAAAGTGGCAGCACCAGAAATGCCGATGTCAATATCAGGACATGTTCTGATGTGAAACGATGATATGGAACTAGTGTCATGTTTTATTTGCAAACTTTAAATTTATGATTTGTTAATTTGACTTAATTTTTTTCATTTACCCGCGATTTTTATATTATACAAGTATACATTGTATATTCGTTTAATGTACATTTTGGATAAACTGTTGACTTTTGACAATCATTTCTTTAATTTATTGTTACTGGATTTTGAGAGTGCCTGTGAGATTTCATTTAATAGGTGCTGTACAAATGCATTTAATAATAATAATAAAAAAAAGAACATAGGTCTCAAATAAATGTAAACATGAAATCAGTACTTGAGTACAATTTAAGGACCAAGTACCAATACCACTTCAGGAATACTAATGTGACAATGTAATAGATAAAAACATCGCAAATAACGCTATTTATACTATAGGAAGTAATATGCATGTTTTAGTAAAAGTCATAAAATACCAAAAATAAACATGCGAAATAAGCGAAAGAAATAAATTAACAAAATAACTAACCTAAAGAAGGGATGGATTTGAGAGCATATGTGGATGCCTGTCTGTTGGAGTCCACCAATGTTACATAAACACATTCAGCGTCATTTGAACTCAAGATAACCTTGGTATGATCTTCAAAAAAATTCACCTAAAAAAGATGTTGCACTTCAAATTTAGAGAATGTAAAAAAAACGATATAATCGATAAATTTTTGCAATGAATCGATTTAACGATAATTACAAAAATTGTGAACTCAAATAAAATGCAAACTTTGGATAAGCTAATTTTTCACATTTGAAAACCCAATCTCAATACAGAACAAGATTTAAAATTTTGAAATTTAATGAATTTAGCAAAATAGCTAAAATTGAGCGATCTCTAAAAAAGCGTTTTTTCCGTTATATTCGTACTACAATCCAAATGTGAACATGAACATAAGCCATAGAACCCCTAAAATCTCGGTAAGGTCCGCTTTAGATGGACCTATACCGAACTTACTGCGTGTGAGGTATCAGAATTTTTTCTTTATTATTATTAAAAGTAAATTAAACTTATATTAACTAACTTTTAAAGGACTTACTTTTAATTCGACTTCGCTGGTATATGTATATGTTTATAAAATGTAAGAGCAAATACAGCAAAGATCGAACTTTAACATATCGTTTTATAATTCGATGAATGTCGCTAAGTAAATTGTGAATAAAGGGCATCACACACAATCAGTTTTTTTTCCACAGGCCAGGCTGCGCAGACAAAAAACAAAGAACAGAAACATGGCGATGAAATAAAATTGTGCTATTTAACCGTGCACTACCTGATTTGGCAGTCAGATTAGGCCAAATTTCAGAATCAATACGAGTTTGCTAAAACGACCTACACAGGGAAGATTCACCTGCGCAGTCAAACGTTTAGAAAAAAACTAATATCTTTCAAAGAGGTCATAATACCAACTAAATACTCGCACATCGAAATAGTATCTATTGATATTACCATATCATCTACGCATCACCGCTTGATATCATACTATCGCCCTGGTGGTTTTGACAGGTCGGCTGATGATTATGCCACTGATAGCATACAATGCATTAGAGAGCTGTGTATAGGTCATGTCAACTGTTTGTTAGGTGACTTCAATCTCCCACTCATCAACTGGACCAATTATTCTTCACCAATTAACTCATTTTATATTTCATTTATTCAACTTTTCAATGAACTTGGTCTGCAACAACTGGTTGATCAGCCCACTCGAGGTCAAAATGTCCTCGACCTGGTACTTTCTGATGATTCCAGTTTGCTGACTGAGTTGGAGATTATCAGTACGCTTGCCTCAAGTGATCACAACATCATCACTTTTCAAATCAACTGTTTCCTCAACAACCCACCAGACGTCAACTCATTCATCAAAACGTACTCCTATGATTTTAACAGTGATAATGATATAAATAATTATTTGTCTAATATACATTGGAATTATCATTTTCAGCACTGTTTTAATGTCAATATGTGTTGGGACACATTCGAACAAATAATCAACCACGCAATATCGATTTTTGTTCCCAAAATTGGACGCAGTCAATCACCGTCTCAACATCAAGCTCTTAGGGCACTTCGCTTATTATACAAAACTAAACTTTATTTTTGGAGGAAATGGAGAACAAGTTCAAATCCAGTTGATAAAGAACAATATTTGAGGATTTCCTGTTACTGCTCCAACTTAGCCAATCTACACCGCAAAAATAAAGAAAACCAATTGTTGTCTAAAGCGAATGTTAAAATTTTTTATCGCTATGTCAATAACAAACTGTTTTCTAAACCCTTGATAACCAGCCTCCAAATTAACAATAATAATAACAACAATACAAATAGTAATATCAGCAATAACAATAATAATTTTGTTGTTGTTAATAACAGTAATAATAGTGATGGTAAAAATAATGTGGGGAGAATAATAATATTAATAATAAAAATAATGTTAGTAATGATAATTATATTGATGCTAACAATAATATTGGTAATGGTACTGGTAATAATAATGATAATAAAAATGATAGTGGTGGTGATAATAATGATGGTGATAGTAATAACAATGCTAATAATAATGGTAATAGTAATTTTAGTAATGATAATCGTAATCGTTTTAGTAATAATAATTTATTAATAATTATTAATAAAAATAGTAATAATAATGGTAATTATGATAAGGTTAATAATGGTAATAATAATGGTAATGATAGTTATATTGATAGTAATAATAATATTGGTAATGGCAATGGTACTGGTAATACTAATGATAATAAAAATGAAAGTGGTGGTGATAATAATGATGGTGATAGTATTGCTCTTTTAAAGCAAACTATGATCACCACCGGTGATCATAGTTTTTGTTTTGTCAAGGGTTACCTTTAGCCCGTGTTCGTCAAGCTGGGTATTCCAGACCTCAAACTTTCTGGCTGCATCTTATTCCGAGGCCACCGTCAGGGCGATATCATCTGCATATATCACATTCCATATGTTATCTGAGTGTATAGGTTTGGTAATTTCTTCCATCACAGTGATGAAGAGCAGGGGGTTGAGTATTGATCCCTGATGGACGCCGACGTTAATATCAAATTCATTCGTGTTACTGGCTGTTGTGCTGACCAGAGTTTTTGTGTTAGAGTACGATGCCATAACCAGCCGAACCAGATATTTGGGAACAAGCTGTCTACGTAGACTCCACCTGATTGCCACACGAAGCACTCTATCAAAAGCCTTTTCCAAGTCCACAAAGACATAAAACAGTCGCTTTTGCTTTGCCAAGCATTTTCCCTATAGTTGACAAATGATATAGATAGCATAAATCGTGTATCTTCCTGTCATAAAGCCGTATTGGTTATCACCTATTGAAACGCACGACAACAGTCTTCTCTCAATGACTTTTTCAAAAACTTTCAGGGGATGTTCCAGAAGACGATACCTTGATATGAGGAGCATTTCAGTGGATCTCCTTTTCTTTTATATATCGGCACAGTTCTATTCCACTGGTAGTATCGATTTACTCCACATCCCCGACAGACGTGTAAGAGGGCTCTGAAGCCTGTCCCACCAGATGCCTTGAAGATATCATTTGTAAGTCCAGATGGACCAGCCGCTTTACCCACCTTCATTGCCATCACCAAAACGGCTTCAGTCTTGGATACTCAACAATATTTGCGCTTACTCTCATTTCAATGGATGTTATCAAGAGCTTTAATCAAAAAAGACCTCCGCCTGATATCAAAGTCATATCTTATGTTGACGATTTCTCCGTTAAACAACCAGCCAAGACGTAGATACTTTGACCCAACGTCTCAACAATTACCACCCTAGCCTTGTCAGTTTCTTCTCAGATCGCAATCTTAATATCTCCAACTCTAAATCTTCAAGCTGTTCACACCGCAAACAGACAAATTTTACTACCAACCCCAGGTCAAGATCAACGGGCAAATCCAGCCGCTTGAGCACACCCCGAAACTACTAGGCCAAACCTTTGATACGACGCTGATTTTCTCTCAACACAATAGATTGTCAGCATCCAAAGATGTAAAACGGAATAATATACTGAAAACTATCAGCGGCACTCCCTATGGCCAAGACAAGGAGAGACTCCTGCAAGACTACAAACCCATAGGAAGATCAATGAAGGAATATGCTTGCCCCACCTGGGTATCACTAACATCAGATTCCAGCCTCAACCGTTTACAGCACACTTATAATACCGCCTTGCGCATCGCAATTGGCTGCCATAAAGCCACCTCAGAGAAACGTCTACTCTCCAAATGCCGAATGCCCTCGATAAAGACAACATACAGGTCTTCATTCCTCACAATTCCTCGCACAATGCTACGACCTTCAACATCCATGCCATATTCTAGTGACCAAAGAACATCCATCTTGAGAAATAAAAACCATAGACCTCTTCTGATTCGCCTGTCTGTGGTGCGTATGCAGAAAAAATAATCATTGTTTGCTTTTCTATGCGAAGCTTGATCCACATGAGACGTTAATTAATCCTTTTAATATCCAGTACTTCTTGGGCTAGCGGTTCTCTGACAAAAATTCCAACACCATTTTTGGCCGTCTTTTGACCATTCCAGGATAGTTTATATTTTTCTTTGTCTGAGTTGACATGACAGACATTATTCGAATTCCATCGGGTTTCCTGAAGGCAGCAGATGTCAATCCTTCTACGCTCGAGCATTTCTGCAATTTCCATGCTGCGGCCAGTCAGTGATCCAACATTGAGCATTCCAAGTCTAAGTACCATAGAGGGGCCATTCTAAATTTTTCTGCAACATCCCTCCGCTGTTGCATACTTTCCAGCTATTCTTGGCACCCCTTGACCTTTTAAGACCTGCTGGGGACTAGGGGCCGTTGTTTTTCTTTGTGATGGCATAAGAGTAATTTGGGAAAAAGTTTTTACATCCGGACACCCATCCTGACGACAACCACCAGGTATAAGCGGTGGGCCTAGCCTTTTGCTGTAAGGCAAAAGGCAGCGTGGATGCAGTTTTATGTCATGCCCAGGACCAATGTCATGCCCAGGACCAATGTCATGCCCAGGACTAAAAGAAAGTTAAAGTTAAAGAAACTAAATTAA